CTGCCGCTGAGCCCCACGCCAGCGTCGCAGCCGCCGGCTCCTTAGCCACCTCCCTCATCGCCTGGCCAGAGCAGGGGCTGTCACCAGAATAAAGCATTTAATTTCCATAACCAGTAGTGGTAGAGCTCACTCATGCTCATGAGAAAAAAACGATGTTTTTATACGTACATGTAAAGAAACACTGGGGTCTTCTTGGTCACCCCCCAAGCACTTCTACTCCTGGGGCAGTGGTTGCAGCTGGATGAGCCCAAACTCCCTTTTGCCTCCCTGGTGTCCCCAGCCCTGGCAGCCCTGGGACACAGCTTGTGGGGCAGAGCCCCCCTGTGCCACCCCCCAAAGCACCTCTCCAGCCGCTCCCCTGGATTGAAGCCGAGGGTTCTGGTTTTCCTGCTGCATGGCATCCCGCTCCCCCCAATCCTTTAAATCTCACGGGGTCATCTGAGGCTCCAGGACCTGTGAGAGTCTCCAGAGCTTCACTTACGATGTTAACAATAAGAAAATAAATCAATTCTGCTTTCCTCTCCTTGTCAGAGACCTCACCAAGCCTCCTGCCGGCTTCCTCCTCTGCTGAGATCATCCCAGATAACGCTGCTGGGTGATATGAGGAGATGGTTGGTGCCTCACTGGAATTGCTCCTGTTTAACAAAAGGGACCGGTGTCCTATGTCCTCCTCTTTTCCTCCCTGCTGGAACAACATCAAGTCAACTTCTGGTCTTGAGGATCAAGAGGTTCCTACACTCGAGCATCCCGGCTCCAGGCACATCCCCATCCCCGCCTCGCAGCTCCGCTCGCTGCCACACGGCCGGCAAGAGGCTGGGTTTACACCTTTAAAATTAAACGCAGCAAAATGCCGGGGGAAAAAAAAGTATTTCTTGTGAAGTGAAGCAGCTCGGGAAAGTTGACGCTGCAAAAGTATCTGCTTGAGAGAAACCTGGGGGTGTCGGGAGTGCCCCGAGGTGAGAACGTCGTTAACGCAGGATTAAGCAGAGGGAGGAGGAAAATGACACCTGAGCCATCATGCTGGCCTGGGTGCTTATTAAAGCCAAAAGGAGAACATAAACTAATTACAGAGGGCAAAGGTGCCATCCTAGCTGTTTTTAATCACCTCTCATGCTGGAAGAGTCTGTGCCACTGCCGCTGCCCTCGCCACAAGAGACAGGTCCAAATCCAACGGGTTGCACCACGGGTGAGCAAACCCCAAGCCAGCCCACCAAGAACCTCGCTCTCAGAGAAATGAACTGCCCTTAATCCCTTTTTTTTTGTTTGTTTTTGCCTTCTGTAAGCAGGTCAGAGCGCAGGGAGAGCCACGGCGAGAGGATGGGCACGGGTGAGGGGCACGGCGGAGTCGGGCAGGGAAGGGACGGGTGCCCACCAGCTGCACGTCCGATGAGTGGCTTTGGGGATTCCCCAGGACTCGGGAAGCCGTGGCAGACACCTCCTTGCAACATCTTGCTTGTGTATCTGGGTTTGCAGAGGAAAAAAAGAGAAGGAGAATCCCCTGTTCGCAGGCAGTCCTGGGCACAGCCCTCAGGTAGGTGCAGGTCCTGCAGCCGCTGGACCCCGCGCTCAGCTGGGGCGTCTGGAAGCCACCGTAGGGCTGCGGGGGGCCGTGCCCACTGGATTTTGCAGGCTGGTTTCTCTTTCTCCAGTCACGCTGAAGCTGCAACCAGCCAAAACCCACCAGAGCACCTCCACTGCCCCCCTGCCGGTGCCTGGCACGCAGGACCCATCCCTGCTGCATGGTTTGCACGGACGAGGGTTGCAGCGGTTTGGGGCAGGACGGTCCCTGCTGCCGTTTGCAGCGCAGCCCCCAGAAGGTCTCCAACCACCCCTCCAGCATTTGGGGTCTCTCCAAATCCAGACGAGGTGAGGCTTGGCTCCGGCTGGGAGGGTCTGGAGATCCCCGGCCCCACACGGCTCCATTCGCGCTGCTCCTCGAGAAGGACCCTTCCAAAAACAACGCCATGCAAATGAAATCCTCGTGCACATCAGGCAGCAGGGACGGCAGCCATTGAGCGCGCTGCATTACCTCCACCACATCCTCCAGAAGAATTTCCCACAGCCTCCTTGGGCCGCTTCACGAGCAGAGAGCATCTCGTCCTCTCACCCTCCTTCCAGGAAAGGCTTTGTGTTTGGAGAGGAAGACTTCGGGAGGCTCTGGGAGGATAACTCGCCAGGATTTGGCATCTCCAACTTGGTGTCCCCAGCCCGAGGATCAGCATCTCCACCTTGCAGAGCTTTGCTTTCCGCAGCTCGAGGTACGAGGCGCCTGGATGAAGGCAGCAGGCTTATCAGCACGGCCAAAGCCTTCATCCCGAATGTACGAACACTCTGCAGCTCCAGCACGATCGCCGTGCCCAGGACCCAGCCGGGGGGTACGGCTGGGATCTGGGGTGCTCCAGGCACGGCAGCTCCCCAGCCCTGCTCTGCCTCTCACCCCACCGACATGTCAGCGGGGGCTCGGGGAGGGCACTTGGCTTTCTGCTGATGCCTCCTTCGCTGTAAGAGCCGAGGCGGGGTGTCCCCGGCAGGCGCAGGTGCCCAGTGGGCAGCAGACGTGGCATCGGCTACCAGGTGGAGACGCTTCTCCCTGACCTTTCCTAGGAAAGAAGTTCCCACTCCCTTTGGAAAAGCCCTGGGAGTTTCTAGCCTGGGGGGGGGACAAGGAAATCAAACTATCACCAAGAAAAGCAATCTCCACCATATTTTACAGCCCCTTTCCTACAGAAACACGGTGCCGGTGCTGAGGGGGTCCACACGCCTCTGTCAGAAGTTCAAACCCAGGGCTGAAGCGGAAGGATGGGCTGGGAGCAGCCAGGCTTTCGGCTCACCCCACGCAGGAGGGACCCCAAAGCACATGGGAGAGCCCCTGGAACACCCCCCTCCAGCCCTAGATGCTTTTTTCGGTGCCAGACTGCTCAGCACATCGGCGCCCGGTTTCCGAGCTGTCGTTTTCCCGGCTGTTAGAGGAGAAAATACGGCAAAGAGCAGCCTGGGCTTGCAAGGCGACTCCGGCCAGAGACGCGACATGTTTATTTTTCCCGTGCCAACCTCCACATCAAACATGTTTTCTTTTTCCACGCTTCAGAAGGGAATATTCATCCCTCCCTCCCCTACCTGCCAGCAGCCCAGCCTTCAGCTCAGGTTTGGGCATCCCCAGGTCCCCGAGACACCCCCGACACCCCCGTTTTCCACGGGCAGAGCTGGTTGGGGGTTGATGTTTCCGCTCCCTGGCACGAGCAGTAAAATGAGGAGAAAAAAAACCCCAATAACCATCTTCATCTGACTCGAGAAACTTGATGTCTCGTGCGACCCAGATCTCAGTGCTTCGGTTTGGTTTTAAGCGCTGTCAAGTTGCTTGGGAAAAGAAAAAAAGCAGACATTAAGGAAAGGGGATGGTATTTTCAGAAACAAAAGTTATTGCACATAAAAAACACAACCCCTGCCACATGGGAACGTGTCAGTTCCTTTGAAATGTTTGCTTGTTTGCTTGTCTCCCGGAGCAAAAACAGCCAGGGAATTGTTCACAGCATTGCAAAATATTTAGACTGACCCAAATCCCTGCGTTTCCGCAGCTGAGGGGCTCCCGTCACCCCCCCCCAGGC